GCTCTCGGCTGGCGGCTCGAGCAAGGCGGAGGGCTTCGACGAGCAGGGCTTCGAGGAGCAGGACGTCGGCGGGCCCTTCGGTGACGCACCTGCGGGAGCGGCTTCGGTGGACCCCCCCCTTTTGGGGGGGCGCAGCCAGGAGGGTACCCCGCGAGGGCGCCCCTGGTGATGCCGCATACCGCAGATAGACGTCAGGTGGCCCGCCTGCGGCTCGCAGTGCTGCGGCTGCACGTGGCGGATATCAGCCGAGCGAGCGTCAACGACCGCGACCTCCGACGGCCTGGATGGCAGGCGGCAGACGCAGGCGCCGTGGATCCCTCCCCGATGTCGCCTGCTGAGCGCCGCGCTGGGCTAGCTTGGATCCGTGGTATTCTCAATGGTCATGAGGACTTTTTCGTGGATTTCATCGGCTAGGGGTCGCGGCTCGACCTTGGGCTGAGAGCATTGCGGGCCCAGGCATTGTTGTGCCATTCAGTGTGCACGTTATGTGAGGTCTTCTTGGTCTCACGTGCGGTATTCTGGATCATCAGGCGCTGTTGCGCCCCATTTTTGACGCGGGTGTTTCATACACGCGCTTCGCGTGGCCTTGCCTCCAGAGTGTTGTGTATTTCGCACGCTTCGCGTGCCCTCGCTTGCGAGCGAGCCGCCGTGCCTCTGCTGTGGCGTGGGCTGTGGGGTCCTGCCGTGGTGTTGCCTGGCGCGTCGATCGGGCCGAGGGGCTTGGTCTTGGCGGCCCTGGAGGCTGCTGTGTGTACAGCTTGGCTGTGCGCACTTGCGCGAGTTTTAAAAAACGCACACACGCACACACGCACACACGCGCACACGCACACACGCACACACGCACACACGCACACACGCACACACGCACACACGCACACACGCACACACGCACACACGCACACACGCACACACGCACACACCACACACGCACACACGCACACACGCACACACGCACACACGCACACACGCACACACGCACACGCACACACGCACACACGCACACACGCACACACGCACACACGCACACACGCACACACGCACACACGCACACACGCACACACGCACACACGCACACACGCGCACACGCGCACACGCGCACACGCGCACACGCGCACACGCGCACACACGCACACACGCACACACGCACACACGCAAACACGCACACACACAAGCACACACACACACAGCGCTGGAGCGCCAGGGACGCATCCTCGCGCGGCACCCATGCGCGGTTTTGGCCGCGGCTGCGCAGCGCCATTGCGCGGCACGCCGACGCCGCGGCGCCCGACTTTCGCTGGGTGCCCTCTCACCTCGCAGCCGAGGAGGCGCTCCACCGTGGAGTGCCGCTCATAGACTGGATCGGCAATGCTTGGGCAGACTGGTTCGCGTCGGTGGCCATGTGGCAGGTCCGGCTGGCGCCAGGGCTCGCTCGGAACCTCGAGCTCAGGCTCCAGCACGTTCTCAGCGTCGTGGAGTTTCACGTGTGGGCCTCCGTGCAGGTGTACTCATCGGGCCTCTGGGACTCGAATGAGGCGGCGATGCCCAGGCCGCCCCCGGCCCCGCCCAAGCTGACCATCATCCAGCACGACTTGCACTGGTGCCCCCGCCCTCGGTCCCAGGACCGCCAAGGCCTTGTCTGCCTTGCCTGCGGGCGCACGGCCTACACCGAAGACGCCCAACGGGCGTTGGCGGGGTCCGCGTGCGCGCCGACCACGCTGGGCCACGAGCGGGCGCTCTCCGTCCTCGGGGCCGCGCCCGCAGCAGCAGGCACTTCGCCGGCGGTGCCCCCCCCCCCCGGCCACCTGTTGCGCCGACGCCAGCGTGGCCTACGGGAGCCAGCGAGACGCCAGCCTCCAGGCCAAGGTGGATTATCTCTTCCACGCCGCACGCGCTGCCGCCCCCGCCGTGCGGGCCGCCGGCGCGGTGACGCCGCGGCCCGCGGCCGGGGGAGATTTTGGCCTGGATCGGGCGCCCGCGCCGCCCGCGCCGCAGCCCGCGGCCGCTGGAGATTCTGGCCTGGATCGGGCGCCGGCGCCGCTGCCGCGCCGCCGGCTGGTGGACCCGCTGGTGGAACGGCGGTTGAGGCTGGCGGACCGCCGTGGCAGGCCGCGCGATGATGGCCCAGCGGGCGGGCGCGGCTCGGAACCCGAGGATGATGACTTCGCGCCGCGCCCCGAAGCTGGCCCCTCTCAGCCGGCTGGTCAGGGCCCCGTGCCTGGCCGTGCTGCGCGCGAAGGGCAGGGGCGTGGTCGGTCCCGCTCGCCGGCTCGCGAGCTCGACGCCGGGCCGCGCCCCGACGCTGGCCCCTCGGCGCTGCCGCCCGCCGATGATGGAGAACCTGGCGCAGGGGGCGCGGGCGTGCCGTCCGCTCCCAGCCCGGCGCAGGGGGCTGCGGTCTCGCACCTTGTGGGGGCCCTCGTGGTGGGGGCGCTCTCGGCCGCGGCCGCGACCTGTGGGGCCGAGGGCGCCGAGGCGGACCCGCGGCCGGACGCGGCGCCTGGCGCAGGAGAGGAGGCGACCCTTCCCGATGCCCTCGCGGCGCACGACGGCGGGGGGCAGGCCGCCGACGGCGCTGACGCGCTCCGCCCGGCGCCCAAGCGCCCCAAGCGGGCTCCGCGGCCGCCGCGCGCTGGCCCGATCTTGGCGGCGCTTGGCCCGATGAAGGAGAGGCTCGAGGAGCGCGCCCGAGGTGCGGAGGCACCCGCGCCTTCGGCTGCCTCAGCTGGGGGCGATGCTCGCCCTGCTGGTTCGGCGGAGGCGGCGGCGCCTCGTGGCGCTGCCTCGCAAGTGCACGTGCCCGGCGACGCCGAAAGCCACGGCCGGCAGAAGTGCGGGGCCACGGTGAGCCGCCCCGCCGCGCGACCTGCCTTGGACACGAGCGGTGGCGCGGCGTCCGAGGGGGCAAGGCCCCCCTCCCGCCCACCTGCTCCTCCTGCCGCTGCTCTCGCCCGCGGGGAGGGGGGGTCGTCTTCGCCGGGTGGATCGTCGGGTGGAGCGGGCGTCGGGTTGGGAAAGAGAGCGAGCGGCCCCGCCGGCGCGGGTGGTCCGCCCGCGTGCGTGCAGGACCGTGGCCACGAGCTTGTCACGTGTTCGACGGTCGTGGTCTGCCGTCGCTGCGGGGCCTACGTGTCGCGCGGGGCCAGGCGGCTCCAGAACGATTGCGCTGGAGCTCTCCCCCCGCTCAGGGAGTGCGACCCTGCCGAGAGAGAGCGGCGCCGACGACGCGATCGCCTCCTGGCAGGGTTGCACCCCCGCACGGGTGCCAGCCTGAGCGGTGCCCCTCGCGGCCTCTAGGGGCCCTGGGGCGGGGTCCCTCTGGTCCTGCTCGGTCTGGGCGGCCCGTGTGGTTGGGGTGGTCCTGGGGCCCCGTCGCCTGGGCTGGCAGCTGTGCTTGCGTAGGGCTTGGGGCCTAAGCTGCCCGCGTTGGCCCCCGCGGCCAACGCGCCTGGGAGTTATCCATCCTAGACGTTTCGGGAGGCCCCTGTGGATTGCCACTCGGCCCAAGTGCTGACTGGCCCTGGCGCCCAAGCGGTGTCGCACGGTGACGCGGGGATACGTTGCCAACTGGCCGGGTCGGCGGGTAGGCCCCGCGGGGTCACACACACACACATTGTGCGTGTGGCGCGCACGCTCCGACACCGTGTGTGGTCTGAGCTCCGTGCCGGGCTGCTGTCTGGCCGTGCCGCTCGGGAAACGGTGTGCTCTACGATGTTTGTGCTAGATGTTCGGTTCGGACGCGCGCCTCCAATCGGCCAAGAAACGCACGATACCACCCCACCTACGGCGCGCCGTGCTGGATGTTTGCGACCTTGCCTCGCTGTCTTTCTCGCGGTGCTCCCTGGCTTGGCCGACGACGGCATGATGGCGACGTGTTGGGCAGTCGTAGTTCGCTTCTTTGGATCCAAGAAGGACGCATTTTCAGGTAAGGTCTCGGGGACTTCGAGGTTTCTGAAAGTTCGTTCCCTCCTGATGCGTGTTCGTCACACTTGCGTCCTGCGTTACCTTTACCAGCGATGGGGGTGTTCTGGTTTCGTTTCAGTGCCGTTACGGCGTCGGTCCAGTTTCGTTCCAGTTTCGTTCTAGCGTCGTCTCATTTTCGTTGCGGTTTCGTTTCTGGTTCGTTCGAGTTTTGTTCCGCTCGTTTTTGTTGCTCCCGTTTCGTTCCAGTCTCGTATCAATATCTTGTCAGTTGAGTCCCAAAACGACAGTGGAACAAACTTGGAAGGACACTGCAACGACCATCAAGCCCGCGTGCGTCAATGAAGGTCCCCGTGACCTTGCACCGAAATGTAGTCGTAGTGTGTCTGCGTCCCGAATATTATCGTCGGAGATCTGGGTTCCGATGGCGACCCCCCAGGGCTCATTTCGACTCCACCGACTCGATTCGATGCGATTCGATTTCGATGGCTTCCGATTCCGATCCGATTTGATTTCGGAATCCGATTCGGAGTTTCGATTTCTCAATGGAGGCCCACTAGCCCGCCGATTTCACCGATTCGACTTCTCCCGACTCGGCTGCCGATATCCGCCGATCCGATTCATATCGATCGCCGATCCGACTTTCGATTCGATTCTGGGTCTCTCCTGCCCCCCAAGAAGTCCCTGCTGCATCGTGGCAGGGCGCGTCCCGTGGGCCGGCAAGTTTCCTTCTGGGTTCGGTGTCCGGAAGGCCCCCGCGTTCAGCGAGACGCCGAGCCTTCATGCTCGCTCCCCTTGTCCAGCCTTGTGACTGCTCTAGCTTTGATCACCAGAGAACTTCGAGCACCAGGGAAGTATCGTAGTTGTGATGTTTTCACGTGTCGGGCCCTGGGAGGCGATATTCGTTCGGCACCCCGCCAGCGTGTCGGGCAGACACAGTTTCGATGTTTTTCGGGGTGCTCAATATTATTTGTGGGATATGGTCCTTAAGTACGAAGGGGACAACATAAACTCAGCCCCCTGCTGCTCCTCTGCCTCTTCCTCCTCCGGCTCTTCTCCTCAGGCGGCCGTTCCAGATCTCTGAGCGTTCCATGTACCGTACTGTCGAGAAACGCCATAAAGATAGACTTTCGGCGTTCCGCGCCGATTTCTTGGATCCGCGCTGGTCCCCCCGGGCGGCGCCTGTGGCGCCGCCCCTGGCGCGCTCCGCGCGCCAGGGAGGGGGGTCCAGCGCAGATTTAAGAAATCCGCGCGGAGCGCCAAAGTTTTTGTGTATGCCGTTTTTTCTTTTTCTACGAGCAGCGAAAGAGATGAGACATCTGGTTTTCGCGCATTCCTTTCTGTTAGAACTGGTGGCAGCAATTCAGTCATCGCAGGTTTCGTTCAATGAAGGTCCCACCTTTCCAGACGACCATCCTGGCATCCTTGCAGCACAGTCAAAGCGCACCCAGCTCAAAATACCCTTGCAGCTCGTGATGACGGCGAAGGCCGGGGGTGTCGATGATTTGCCACCGAAGCAACGAGACAACGTCCGGGAGACGCTGGCGCTGAACCCTGAGCTGACGTTGCGATTTCTTACCGATGAGGACTGCAGAGGCTTCATTTCTAAAAACTACGAGCCCGACTTGCTTTCCGCGTTTGACAATGAAAAGCATGGAAGTTACCGGGGTGACATTTGCAGAGCGGCGGTAATTGCAATCGAAGGCGGCTTCTATGCAGATCTGGATGTTCAGTTTCGTGTTCCTTTCGTGAAAATGGTAGACGAGGGCACGACCTTCATGTCTGCCCTTGACATCTGAGAGGCTACGCTCCCTGCCGCTGCCCCCCCCGGTGCGGAGCCGCTTTAAGGGCTTTACCTTGGGACCACCTTGTGACTTCCTTCGGGCATCACTGGGCCACCCTGGAACCACTTTGGGGGGCATCTGGGGGACTCTGGGGACCACCATGAGGCACCATGAGGTAGACTCCCCAGACCCCGACGGCGTGTTTTTGTTTTTTCTCCCCCCCAACTCTCCTGTGTGTTGGGTCCTCGTTTTAAATCCGCCGCGCCGCGCTCCACACCTCCTTCCTCCTTCTGATCCTCCTCCTCCTCCTTCTCCTCCTCCACAATTGCTCAATATGAATACTACTCTCCCTCTTCCCCGGATGACAGCCTGGGAGTGTCCCACACCCCTTCCGCGTACGTTTTTTTTCCACACACAGGTTTCCCTGGAGTTGGGTTTTCGCCTGCATTTTTTTTCAAAATGCTGCTCTCGCTGAGGCGCCGGCCTCATTCTCGGGCCCCGCTCGTTCCGAATCGTGCTCCCGCTGCAGCGCTGGCCTCATTTCCGTGCTTCCGCTCGTTCCGAATCGTGCTCCCGCTGCAGCGCTGGTCTCATTTCCGCGCTTCCGCTCGTTTCGACTCCTGCTCCCGCTGCAGCGCTGGCGTCATTTCCCGTGCCATGCCACGGCATGCACTGCAATGCTAGGTTGATATTGCGCTTTGCGGTGCTCTTCTACGCCATGCCATGCCGTGCTCTACAATGCATCGCGTACCCATCATTGCCCTGCTCGACATCCGACTGAGCGAGTAGAGCGGGGATCTGCGCCATGGTAAGGGATGGGAGGGATGGGTAGGATGTCAGATATGACGCGAGCGCACCTAGCTTGTCCTCCTCCCCTCCTCCCCTCACTCCATCCCTTCACTTCCTCCTCATCCGCACCATCCACTTCCCATGACCACCATCATCATCGCCGTCACCATCGCCATCATCATCGCCAGACTCAGCATCATGATCACTGATCATAATATTCTCCTCACCGTTGGCATCACCATTGCCGCCTTATCATTAGCATCATCATCATCATCATCATCATCATCATCATCATCATCATCATCATCATCATCATCATCATCATCATCATCATAATCACCATCACCATCACCATCACCATCATCATCATCAGCATCATCATCATCACCATCATCATCATCATCATCGTCGTCGTCTGCATAATCATCCATCTTTACACTCTTATCACCATCATCATTCGCATCGCCGTTTCGGCGCACCCCTCAAACGTTTCGTGCCCCCAAAGGGAGCTCAACCCAAGGCTCCAGTGGCAGGGTCCGCATAGATAATTACTCGGGTCCATTTCGGCACACCCTTCGCACGCTCCGTGGCCCCATAGGGAGCTCCACCGAAGTCCCCAGTGGCACAGTGCGCATGGTCATCCGCGCCATTTCGGAGCTCCACCGAAGGCCACAGTGGCACAGCCCGCATGTTTACCGCGCCATTTCGGCACACCTCTCGCACGTGTCGTGGCCCCCTCGGGAGCTCCACCGAAGGCCCCAGTGGCACAGTCCCCATGTTTACCCGCGCCATTTCGGCACACCTCTCGCACGTGTCGTGGCCCCCTCGGGCACTGGAGGCCCCAGTGGCACAGTCCGCATGGCTACCCGTGCCATTTCGGCACACCTCTGACACATTTCGTAGCCCCACAGGGGAAGGCCCCAGTGGCACAGTCCGCATGGCTACCGGCGCAATGTCGGCACACCCCTCGCACGTTTCGGGGCCCGAGTCCTATGGATTCCCACGAATTCCTATGAGTCGCTTGCCCCTGCTTGCTCTTGCGTGCTCTTGCTTGTTTGCTCTTGCGTGCTTGCTATCGCTTGCTTGCTCTTGCTTGCCCTTGCTTGCTTGCACTTGATCGCTGGCGCTTTCTTGTTATTGCTCGCTTGCGCTTGCTTGCTTCCGCTTGCTTGCTTGCGCTTGCTAGCTTGCGCTTGCTTGACTTTGCTCCTCTCGTTCTCGTCCCGTCCTCCTCCCGTCCTCCTTTCGTCCTTCTCCCATCCTCCTCTCGTCCTCCTCCTGTCCTCCTTTCTATTTGGAGTCAACGCTGGCTGATATTATTATTGATACTAATAATAACAAGAACAATAATAACACTACTAATACTACTGATAATATTACGGAACATAATACTACCATTAAACATAGTAAAACGGCGAGCGTACTAAGAATGATACGAATAAACAACAGTACTGAAACTATGACTACGAATAATAATGAAACGACGCCAAATAACAAAACGAATCCTACGAATAATAATAGTAAGAATAATACTCGGAGGAGGAGGAGAAGGAGAAGGAGGAGGGTCAGGAGTAAGGGCGAGGGAATACCTGAAACTATGTGGAGCAGGGAGGGATGAGGAGGAGGAGGAGGAGGAGGAGGAGGAGGAGGAGGAGGAGGAGGGCATGATTAACATGATGAGGAGGAGGGCTCGGAGGAGGAGGATGAGGAGTCAGGGCGAGGGCATAGAGAGGTCCACCGAAGGCCCCAGTGGCAGGGTCCACATGGCGGCCTCGGGCCATGTCGGCACCTCTCACACGTTTCCTGACCGTCCACGTTTCCAGTATGAGTCGTGAGAGTGCGTGCGTGAATGGGTGACGGTGGGCGTGGACTGACGTGGTCTGGCGAAGCGTTTCAGAGCTACTGCAGGTCCCTCAATGTGTTTTTATTGAGCGGTCCTGTTTAGAGCCGCCTCGTGTTCACATATGGGCTTGGTTCGTCGCCAGGCTAATTTTCTCCAGAACGTGGACCCCCAGTGCTTTGGAGCCCCTTCCCCGGGGACCGGCTTTTCATTCCGAGTCGTTTGTTGACGGCCCGGCAAATGCCCTGGGAAACTGAGAATTGCGAAAACCGTCCGCCGTGTTTTTTCATGACGCGAGGGGGTCTGGGTCTGGGCTGCCTTGGGGCCTCCTTGAGGAGCACCTTGGGGCCGACCTGAGGTTTCGTTCAGGAGCACCTCGGGTTTTGTTGTGCTGGTTGCATTTTCTGTGCGAGCTCTTGATGCCACGTTGAGGTTTTTTGGGCCCTCCTGGGCAATACCCACAGGTAGTTGAAATGATTCCCCGATCAGAGCTTGCCTCTGTGGGGGTCCTAGCGGATTCATATCGTTGGGTGAGCTTTGCCGCCGATTTTCGCGGCCCGCCCAAGTGCCCAGGTGCTCGGGTGCCCAGGTGCCCGGTAGCCCTCTAGCCGTATAGCCCTACCTTATAGCGTTATAGCCCTATAGCCCTATCGCCCAATAGCCCAATAGCCCAATAGCTCTATAGCCCTATAGCCTTATAGCCTCATGGCCCTATAGCCCTATAGCCCTATAACCCTATAGCCCTATAGCCCTAGCAGCCTTAGAGCCCTATAACCCAATTGCCCCATAGCCCCATAGCCTTACAGCCCTACAGCCCTATAGCCCAATCGCCCAATCGCCCTATAGCCCTATAGCCCTATAGTTTCATAGCCTTACAGCCCTATAGCCCTATAGCCTTATAGCCCTATAGCTCTATATGCCTATAGCCCTATAGCCCCATAGCGCCATAACCCTATAGCCCTATATACCTATAGCCCTATGGTCCTATAGCCCTATAGCCCTATAGCCCTAGAGCCCTAGCCATATTCGGATGTTGTTTTCCCCCGGTATCCTGTTTGTTTATGTTTTTTTGTTTTGTAGTCCCAAGCTCCAGCCTACCTTTTGCGCCTTCGTATTTCAAGTGCCGAGTGGCCCTCCTTTCTCCTCCCTCTTCGGGGGGCGGGCCGAGATCCAGTGTGCCTCCAACAACGCCCTCCCGCTCGATGCTCTCCCCACCTCTCCCGAACCGTGGGTGCTGGAGCTACGGCTTCGGCGGCGAGCGAGGGGGGGAAGTCAGAAGGGTCGCGCCCTCTCAGAAGGCTCGGAAGTCCCCGGGGCTTCTGAGAAGTCCCGCCGCCTTCTGAGAAGGCCGTCTCCTTCTCTCTTCCCCCCCTCGCTCGCCGCCAACAGCTGGCGTGAGGGTCAAGACCAACCCCAGCTTTGGAGGGGAACCTTTGTGCTCTTCGTGGCTTGGTTCGGATGCGGCTCCTGGGAGGTCAGACTCCGTTTTTGCCCTGGTCCGAAATCCGCTTCAGTCCAGCTTGATCCCGCTCAATTTGGCTTGATCCCGCTGAATCTCGCTCAATCCAGTTCAGTCCTGCTTCATCCGAGGCCCACTCTGGCGTAACAGCCCCCCAGTGGGGCCTAATCCTCCTTAGTCCTTTCGACGAAAACCTCCCAGTAGTTGCCTCCTAAGTTTGGCCCTCCACCTTACACCGTCGTTCGTTCGGGGTGTCTCCGCGGGGCACCGGGCCTCCGGCGGGTGGGAAGCGATGTTCTTGATCCGCACTCGTGCGGCCATGCTTCGACCGTCTCTCTGGGCTCCCGGGGCCGTCTCGACGAGGTCACGCAGCACCTCGGAAGCAAAACGTGCGACGTTTTTTTTAACCTCGGAGCGTCTTGGGGGCCTTTTGGCAGCTTCTCAGGGCCATCTTGGACCGCCTCTGGCGCCCGAAGGCAGACCATCCTGGGCCATTTGGGGCTCGTGGCGTCCTCCTGGGGATCTGCTGTGGGCCTCTCTCTTGGGCCACAGGGGCTTCCACTCAGCGTCTCTGTGGAAGCTCTGGGGCAACCTAAAGGGCACCCAGGGGGAGTTATGAGAGCCCCCCCCCCTCCTGCGTGCCTCCCGCCTCTGGCGCCGCGCCCCCCCCCCCCCCTTTCCTCCTGCCAGGCAGCAGGAGACGTGGCCGGAGAGACATGACCGACGCAAAACAGCGAGGTCGTCTTTGCCGACGTTGGCGCGTAAGCTGCCCGCGCAAGGTCGCCGCGTAAGCGCCCTTGCCTCCAAGGCAGCGTGCCGCGCTGGCGGCCCGCGTTAGCTGCGGCGTAAGGTCGCCGTTCCATCTCGCGCAAGACCCGTTCTTGATCGTCGCTCGTATGGCGACTGAACGCACGAGACCCGAGGGGGGTCCAAATGGGGTGGTGACCACACCGTGTGGTGAGGTTTTGGGACTCGGGCTTCTCTCCCACGGCGTTTTGGACGGTTGGGGCTTCCGGGGTCCCAAGCCCGTGTGGTGGCGGACCGCGCGGTGAGGTCGCTGGGGGCTCCGAGGTCACCCTGCGGTCCGTCACCACTCGGTTTTGGGGCCCCGAAGAGGCGCCGCGAGAGGCAGAAGAAGAGAGACACCGGCAAGGAATTGGCCTCTCCACAGCTTGGCGCCCCCCAGCGGGCTTGATGATTTACTGCAACGTTCTGAACGCATTGTTCGCGGTGGAGCCAAGCAGCGCTGTCATGCATTCTGTCATAGCAGCTATCAGAGATTGGTACGCGCAGCCAGGTGCTTCTAGACCGAGGGGATCTTTTCTGGGTACTGTGACGATGCTGGCTGGGCTGAAGGACGTGGTGTCGCATGACTGCCCAGGGATGGATATAAGGAACGCAACCGAGCTCCAGCGTTCATGTGGATCGCACCACCAGTTCCGGTTCTTCACCGAACAGCGTATCAGGTGTGCTCGCACCGCGACTGAAGAGTGCCCGTTGGGGCGGCAGCTCACGCACTTCGACGGTGTACGTTTCGGCCTCTTCGAGCCGGGGCCGAATAGAAAGTTGGTGGCGTGGTCCCGCTTCGAGACGTGCTCGAAGTGGGGCTGCGACGAGCGTCGGGAAGAGAGCGCAATAGTAGGAGCGTGTCTGGTGCCGCCTACTCCGCACCCCGTGTATCACCCCGTGCAGCACCCTGTGCACCGTTGACGATGCGCGCACGGCACTGCTCGGTGCATTCTGTGCTCATGAGTTGGACTCTGGACGACGTGCATCCAGTCCGCACTTTCGCTTCCTCGTCTTGACTTCGGCAGAGATCGGCCGCAGGACCACCTAGATGCCGTTTTGTGTGCAGAGCCCTCGGGCTTCTGCGGTGCAGCCGCGCGCGTGCGTCCGCTCGCTCTTGCACTCGGAAGGGTCGCGGTGCCACTCGTCCCCCCCCCCTCCCCCGACATCCGAGCCAAGTATCTACCCACGGCCACCGCCTGGGGGGTCGATCTCCGGGGACGCCGGCGGGCGGTGGGCCTGGACAGGCTCGTGCCCCTCCGGTGGGGCAGGGCGCGTCCACGTCCACCCCTCGACCCCCCTGGGCGGTGGTTGGGTATGAGCCTCCCCCCTGCGCCCCTCGGCGGCGCGAGCTCCGAGCTCCACCCTCGCCGATCAACGAGTCAGGCCGCCCGCTGGGCGGCGGGGGTCGGGCTCGGCGCTCCTCGAGCAGCGGCAGCGCCCGGGCAGGCTTCCGCCGTGTGTGGGCGTGGGCCCCGCGAGGGCGACGCGCACACCTCGGGAGTCTGACAATGCACAGTGCCGTTTTTAACACATGCTCCGCGTGCGGATCATGCATTAAACATGCAGGGATTTAGTATCAAAAGCAACGATGAGTTCATACATACCTTTATTCATACATTAAGCATGTATTAGACATCCTATGTTTTAAAACATCCCATGTGTTAAAACTGCCCTGTACGAGCTCCGTGGCGGGCACCTTCTGGCCATGCCGCTCGGGGAACTATCGCTTCGTCAGCGGCGAGGCAGATGTCGGGCGATCGCAGGCATGGATTGATGGGGGCGTGGATTCGCGACGAGTCCCGTTTCCATGGGAAATCGCGGATCTCCGCCGCCGACCGAGGCGGCACCGTGCGCCAAATCCATGGGTCGCCGATCCATGTTTGCGCGCCCCCGAAGATGTTGTGGCGTCAGCGGTCGGGCTGAACGGGGCTGCCGAAGAGTGTTCGTTTTCTCATTCATTCTTTTGCCGATCGGCGCGGGCTCCCCAAAACCGCCCCTCCCCCCCCCATGGAGTAGAACTGGGCTGTTTTTGGCGCCTGTTTCGAGCAGGTGGAGCCTCCCCCATAATGGACGCACGGTTCCAAACACCCGCACCAAGCAGAGGTATGGAGCCAGACCCCCTCCCTCCCCCCCCTTCCGCCCAATGTTGATACCATGCGTGCGTCGCCGCCCCGCCCCCCCCTCCTGGGCTGACGCGCGCACCGACAACTCTCACAGTACATTCTTGGTAGCGGGCGCTTTCTGGCCGTGCCGCTCGTGAAACGGTACGCTACAGTACAGTTAGACCGCGTGTTCAGGTCGGACGCACGCCTCCGAGGAGGGCACATCGTATTTGTAGATTCGTGCGCGTCCCATGGAACATCCGGCTTGGGCCGTACCGCTCGGGAAACGATACGCTACAGTACAATGATATTGCATGTTCGGGTCGCACGCACGCCTCCGAGGAGGACACATCGTACATGTATATTCTTGTCCGCCAGGAAAATTGTGCACTATAAAGCCCCCGGGGGGCGAGGGAGGTTCCTGGTCGTGGGCCTGCTGTACAGAACTCCCTCCCTGGGGCGTTGGAACATATATATATATATATATATACACATATATATATATATATGTATAAATAATCAATAAACAATTTTCTTTCCCGCCTGCACGGCGGAAGTGGCCCCGTGCGGTGGCGTCTGACTGGGGCGGGAAGGGTGTGGTATACGAGCAGATCGTGAGGATCTTGCGCGTTCCAGTGGAACGTCCGGCTGGGGCTTCGGCACCCCCCCGCCGTCGCCGCGCTGCCGCCGCCGCCGCCGCGGGTGCCTGCAGCGAGGCCCCTCGGGAGGCCTCCGGCGAGCTCGCCCGGGGCGGCCTCTCGCCCGAGGGCGGCTCCCTCGAGGCCATCGGGAGGCATCTGGAGGGACCTCCGGGGTCCTCCGAGGCATCCAGGGGTGCACCCGGAGGTCCGACGCTCCAGAACAATCGGAGCTGGCGGTTTCGGGCCGTTCTCGGCCTCCGGGGGCCCTCGCTGGGCCCTGGGACCTTCCAAAAGCGATTCCGGGCGGACAGCCGGTCCCGGGGAAATGTCCGGACCTCCGGGGCCTGCGCATCGAACACATGGGAGCAGCCGGTTGTCTGGGCATGGGCATGCGGTTTCTAAGCTCCTGGGGCTGTTCCAGCTTCGGGACGCTTTCCAGCACCTGGGCCTCGTCGAGAAGCTTTCTGGGCGTGCCCGGGTCGTCCCGAACGGCCGCCAGAGGACCGACTTCTGGCCCGAAAACCACCAGGGGCAACGTGAGGGGGATTTGCTTAGGGGGGAATGCATCGACCCCTAATCGCACATTGATCGCGGCTATTGGCCCGACAGCCCGCCCTGCCCAGGAAAGTGCAGATTTGCCATCGATCCTACCGCGGATCCATCGTCGATGCATCATCGATTCCAGGTCGATGTTCCGGAGCTGGTCCACCCCAACGTTGAGGTGGAGGCTGCGGGTGTGTGAATCTCACGGATTGGGCCACGAATCCTCCCAGGCTTCTTGACCCCTCCCACCCACCGCTTCGCGCGACAGCTTGAAAAGCCAAGCGATCAGGAGAGCAATAGAGGACGAGGAGGAGGAAGAGGCGGAGGAGGAGGAGGAGGACAAACGGGAGATGATGATGCTGATGATGATGACGATGATGTTGATATTGTTGATGATGATGATGCTGCTGATGATGATGATGCTGATGATGCTGATGATGATGATACTGATGATTATGATTATGCTGATAGTGCTGATGACGATCTGCTGATGATGATGACTGATGACGTAATGATGATGGCGATGATGGTGGTGGTGATGATGATTATGCTGATGATGCTGATGATGCTGATGAGGATGATGCTGCGGCTGATGATGATGCTGCTGCTGATGCTGGGGCTGATGCTGAGGACGATGATCATTCTGATGCTGCTGCTGCTGCTGCTGATGATGATGATGATGATGATGATACTGCTGCTGATGATGTTTCTGCTGCTGGTGATGATATTCATGATGCTGATGCTGCTGATGATGATGCTGCTGCTGCTGATGATTTTTCTGCTGCAAATGATGATACTGAAGATGATACTGCTGCTGCTGATGATGATGATGGTGGTAGTGATGATGATGCTGATGCTGATGATGCTGATGCTGATGATGCTGATGATGATGTTGTTGATGATGATGACCTTGGTGATGATGCTGATGATTATGATGATGCTGATGACGGTGGTGATGCTGATGATGCTGCTGATGATGATGCTTGATGCTGGTGATGATGATGACGATGATGCTGATGCTGCTGATGATGTTGATGATGATGCTGATGATGATGCTGAGGATGATGATGATGATGATGATGATGATGATGATGATGCTGATGCTGATGATGCTGATGATGATGCTGCGGATGCTGATGATAATTCTGATGATGATGATGCTGCTGAGGATGATGATGATGCTGATGATGATGCTGCTGCTGATGCTGATGATGATGATGATGATGCTGATGCTGATGATGATGAGGAAGATGCTGATGCTGATGCTGATGATGATGATGATGCTGATGATGATGATGATGATGATTCTGATGATTTTGATGATGATGCTGCTGCTGATGATGATGATGCTGATGATTTTGATGCTGATGGTGATGATGATGATGCTGATGATGATGGATGATGATGCTGCTGATGCTGCTGCTGCTGATGCTGATGATGATGATGATGATGATGATGATGATGATGATGATGATGATGATGATTGATGATGTGATGATGATGATGATGATGATGATGATGATGAATGATTATGATGCTGAGGAGGAACAGGAGGTGGGAGGAGGAGGAGGAGGAGGAGGAGGAGGAGGAGAAGGAGGAGGAGGAGGAGGAGGAGGAGGGAGGAGGAGGAGGAGGAGGAGGAGGAGGAGGAGGAGGAGGCGGAGGAGGAGAGAGAGAAAAGGGAGGATGAGGAGGAAGAGGGGAGGAGGAAAGGGAGAGGAGCGGAGGAGGAGGAGGAGGCGGAGGCGGAGGAGGGAGAGGAGGAGGAAGCAGGAGGGGGAGGAGGAGGAGGAGGAGGAGGAGGAGGAGGAGGAGGAGGAGGAGGTGGAGGAGGAGGAGGAGGAGGATGAGGTGGAGGAGGAGGGTAGGAGGAGGGGGGCAGGTGGAGGAGGAGGAGGAGAGGGGAGGAGGAGGGGAGGAGGAGGAGGAGGAGGAGGAGGAGGAGGTGGAGGGGGAGGAAGAGGAGGGGGATGAAGCAGGGAGGAGGAGAGGAAGAGGAGGAGGAAGAGGAGGGGGAGGAGGAGGAGGAGGAGGAGGAGGAGGAGGAGGAGGAGGAGGAGGAGGAAGGAGGAGGAGGAGGAGGAGGAAGAGAGCAGGAGAAAACCAGGTGCACTTCTCTCAGTGCATCCCCTGGGCCCCCCTTAGCCTGGTGCGCGACATGCCTCGGGTCATGTTTGGTGCGTTCCCCCCCCCCCCCTCGGCCTCCACCCTCCCGCACCTGCTGCACAGCAGCTGCCGCGCAGCGGCCGCTGCCAGCGCGCCGCAGAGGTGGCCGCCGTCGAGGCCGCAGCGGCGGCCTCGGCGGCAGCCGCGGCCGCGGCGGGGCGGCACCAGCTGTGAGGAAGTTTCGGAAGTTGGAGATCTTAGAGGTCCGAGGACCCCCGAACGGTGTGGTGGCCACGCTGTGTGGTGAGTCGGGGGGGAGTCGGGGCCACCGCACACGGTCTTGGGACCTGGTTCGTTCTCCGAGGATGTCTCGGATGGCCTGGGTCGTTGGGACCTGTGGCGTTGGGACCTGTGGTCGTTGGGACTCGGGGCCACCGCACACGGTCTTGGGACCTGGGTCGTTGGGACCTGTGGCGACGGACCCTGCGGCGATGTTCTTGCGGATGTCGGCGTCGCCGCCGTATCTGTGACCACACGGCTTTGGGACCACCCTCTCACGGAGGCCGAAATCGAGGAAACAATTTTTTGGTCGGCGGGTCGAGAGCGGGCCTCTTCCGGTTAAGAGCTAGGCGGGGCGCGCGAAGCACTAGTTGGGGAGACAGGGCGCAGGCGGGCGGGGCCTCAGGCGGCCGGAGGGTACGGAGTACAGGCGGTGCCGAAGAGCTTGCACAGGAGAAGGTACGCCTTGGACAGGAGCGGAAGACGAAGTCCCGGAGGGAGAGCGAAGTGGTGCTGCCGCCCGGAGTGAAGAAATTGTGCCGTCGGTCGTCGGAGACTTGGGCTCTTCGGTGGGACGCGACCCCGAGGGGCTTCCGAAGGCCCCTGGGGCGGTCGTCGTGACGGGCACGATGTATATCCGTGTCCATGGCGTCTTGGACTTTCTCGGAAGCGGCGACGGCAAACCGCGGCGCAGTGGAGGTTGGTAGAAATCTGACCTCTAGGGTCGAAGTTGTTTGATCCATCTCCACGGCGCCTCTGGTATCGAAGGAAGGAGCCCGAAAACCCAAGACGCAGTGGATATGGGTAAAAGTACTGCCCGCAGTCGTCGCCGATGGCCGCCGCTCTCTCGCCGCGAGCTGCGGATTCGGCAGCCCCGCACCCCCCAGCTGCGCCAGGTCATGCAGGGACTCGCCCCGCCGGTGGCGCCTGCGGAGCGACGCGCCCCTCTCTCTTCTGGTGCCCAGACCCCTTCGCGACTTGGTATATATATATATGGAATGTCTATATATACACATTTTCCCATGTATATATATACATGTACGTAGACATATATATATATATATATATATGTATATATACACAATATATACGTATATGTGCATATCTATACACTCATCTATTTAATTGTTCATGTAGGTACTCCTGTACTGTTTTTGATTACTTTTTTATAGACTGCACATCTCGAGTCTGTGATCTACTTTTACTGATCTGGGGGGTGCGGACTCCCCACCCCGAAACGGGATCCCCGGCGTCCGGGACTCCTGGACGCCCCTCTCAGGCGGTCCTGTGAGATCTTCAGGCCTTTGGAACTCCTTGTCAAGCTGTGCAGACGGGTCGGCGGCGATCCTAAGAGACCCCCAAGACGGTCCAAGATGGCTTCCAGTGGCCCTTGGCCCCCAGCTGACGCCCGAAGACGGCCCAAATATCATCCCCAAGAGTTTTTCGGAAGGCAGAACATGGTTTTGAATTTCTCCTTTGGTTTGCACGATTTGGGATACTTGATTATTCGGTCTTCCAGGCGTCCGAGAACGCCCGAGAGGTACCGAAAACCGCTCCAAGAGGACCAACGAAGGCTTTCTGGCACTCCAAGAGAGCTCCAAGACTGCCCAAGAGGGCTCAGAAGCTACCCACAGATGGCCCCCAGACGGCCCGAAATTGCCCCATCCAGAAGAATTCAAACCGTGACCCGAGACCACGGTTCGCGGCATGGTGGCCCGAGGACCCCCCCAGAGGCGGCCAAATGGCGCCAGCGACGTCTCCAGAGGCGCCCAAGCAGCCCCTAAACAGCTGTCGCAAGGTCCTCCAGAAGCGCGCCTCGGAGGAGCCTCCGCAATCAATTCTGAGGAGGACGGGGAAGTTCGCGTGGCGATTCAAGCGAGAACGAGGAAGAGGAAAAGGAAGAGGAAGATGACACATGAGGGAAGGAGATGGCGAACACTGCATTCAAGAGCGATCGCTGGTTTCATGGATCTACGCGTCTCTCATGGCGCGAAGCGCTGATGCAGTCATGTATGCATGCGATGTCCTGTCGTATACGTTTTTTATTGATCTGGGGGGTGCGGCCTCCCCCTTCCCCGAAACGGGGTCCCCGGGCGAGCGCGAGCGCGCCTTCCGGGCGCCCGTCTCCTTAGCGCAGGCGGCAGGCGACGTGTGCACGAGGCCAGTGCTGCCGCGGCGCGGCAGCGCGCCCCTCCGGCAAGGGCCGTCGCCGCCCCCAGCGTCCGCGGGATTCCGCGCTGAAGTTGCAAGCGCCCGCGCGCCGCGCAGAGCGCCCGCAGCCGCTCGTGCTCAGACAGCAGCAGCGGCGACAACAACTCGTCGGAGCCCTCGTCGTCCGCCCCCGCGCGGCCCAGGCGCGGCCGGGGGCGCGACTGCGCGGAAAGCTCTGCAGCGGGGCTGCGGGGAGAAGGCGGGCGAAGTCCTCGGGGCAGCGCGGGCGCGGCGCGGCGGCGGCCGACGGCGCGCAGTCGCGGCGCGAGCACGAGCGCCTGCGCGCGTGCTGCTGGGCTCGTGTCCACGCCCCCCGGGCGCGGTGACGGCGGCGGCGAAGTCCGGGCTTTCCCTCGCGCATGCCCGACTGCGCCGCGCGGGCAGCGAGTTGGCCCCTGCTCTGGACGGCCTGCTGGCGCGGTCGCGCGCCCTCAGGTCTGCCGGCGCCTTCGGCATCTCGCCGGTGCGATGCGCGCGGCTTGCGCGGCGCGGAGGCGGCGCGCTCGCGGGCTCGCTGGCGACGCGCCCGGCGCGCAGGTGCCCCAGCTGCATGCGGATTGTTTCGCGGCGCAGGAAGTCGGGGGGGGGGCCGCGCGGCAATCTCGAAGCGCAACCCGTGGTGGCGCCCCGCGAAGCGTTACCTTTTGCACGATGGCCTGATCCGTCTGCTGCCTCGCGTGGCGGGCCCGACGCTCCGCGAGCTGCGCGCGAACTGTTTCGCCCTCGCCTTCAGATTGCCGTCGGAGGGTCTGGCGGTCGCCTTGCTTTGCGCGGGCCCGTCCTTGCGATTTGTCTTCAGCGGCGAGGGGCCTCGCGCAAAGGACCGTGCCGCGCTGCATCTGAGCAGGAGCAAGAACGTTCCGCACCCGCGTGCAGTAACCCGAGACTGCTGGTGCACGGAGTGCCCGCCGAGGCGCCCAGTGCGCGCGCCCGTGGCCAGTGGGGCGGTTAAACCGCTGCCCGTAGTTGCGCGCCAGCGACGGCGTGCATCACTGTGCCACAGGGTCTCGCCCCTGAGTGACTGCGGCGCGGTCGCGCGGAGACCGCCCGCAGGGCGGGCGTCCCCTTCGGCGACGTCTCGCGGGCGGGCGGCTGCTCGCCCAGGGCATTGTTAAATAATGCCCTGGCCGCCCAGAGCTTGAGTGCGCTGCCGCGGGGGATGTGGTTTCGCGGGCGTCCTCGCCCGCAGTTTCCGTCGCGCGCAGCTTGCCTTGGGTGTCTGGCGTCGTCGGCAGCATCGTTCAGTGCGCGTCGTGCCCGTGCGTTGCCCCTTCGCCGCGTGCCGCGGTGGACTCGGCCACAAAAGCGGCGCCGCGCCGCAGCGGGCTCTGCCGCGGAGACGGCGCTCGCGACGACGCGCCTGGGCCTTTGTCACCGCCGAGTTGTGGTGGGCGCACGAGCTCGCCTGTTCGCGGGCACAAGTCGGGGGGGCAGCGGGAAGTAGCGCGCGGCCGGCAGGCGTGCGCGCGCCCGGTGCGCGCCCTGCAGGTGTACGCGTCTCGATTGACAGGCGCGCGCGCGCGGGGCAGGTCCGCGCGCGGGCGCGCCTCCGTTGCGCAGGCTGGGGTCGCCGGTGCGCGCGCGGCCCGACGGGGCGAGCGCGCGCCGCGGCGCCGCGCGGGCGACCGCGGCTTATGCGGGAATGCGCAGACCCAGTGCCTCTGCCTTCTCCCCGCCCGCCCAGACCTAGCGCGCTGTCCTGCGCGTGCTCGGTGTGATGGTTGCGTTGCGTGCGGGGGCGTTGTGCCCGTGCGCTGCTCCATCGCAGCGCGCCGCGGTGAACTCTGCCACAGCGGCGGCGCCGCGCCGTAGTGGGCTCTGCCGCTGAGACGGCGCCCGCGGGCGGGGCGCGTCACCACCGAATGATGATTATGGTGATGCTGGTGGTGGTGATTCGGATGATGATGCTGATGATGATGATGGTGATGATGATGGTGGCGATGATGATGACGATGATGATAGTGATGATGATGGTCGTCGTCGCCGTTGTAATAGTTGTCGTCGAGGCCCCGTGTGGGGCCCATGCCGCGAGCAGAGGGTCGCGACGCCGGGGGCCCGACGCAAAAGGGGCGCCCGTTCGGCAGCAAATCTCTGGCGCCTTGCAGCGCTGATGGAGAAAACCTTGCAACAAATCCAGGTAACCACTTCATGCGCCCCCCTCTCCCCCCAGCCTTCATATTGAACGAGCGTTTCTTTAGAATCGGAGCCCGAAAAGTTTTGAACCTGAAATGTCCAGTTCAATTCAATGCCTTCCGCTGTGAAGCTGGGGGAGGGGGCGGAAGATGGAATTTGGCTCTTTCTAGTTCGGGCGCTGATGTTGCAAAGTTTTCTTTCAACCGTATGTTGTCGAAATGCATCTTCTAGACAGCGCGAGCTGATTCGCTGGCCCCTCCGTTCCCTAGCTTTCCCCGTCGTCAGACCCGAAGAATGGGGGCGGCGCGGCCACTTTACTTGGGCAGCCGCGGGCTGTGGGATCATCGCCGTGGTTGGGGTTGGGCCGGAACTCGGGTCCTAAGGATAGGTCAGGACAGCGTCCTCGAAGGGTCCAGGCCAGGAATCGATTTGGGAAACGGCCGCGGGCCGGAAGCACGTGTCCATATTTTGTCTCCCGGCGCCATTGTGGACAGGTCTCAAAGTGCGAGCAGGCTGCACACAGGCCACGATGGCAAAGTCATGGCACCCGCTCATGCCACTGACCCTTCTTTCACGCGCAACTCGATCTCAACGCGGCCGCGCAGGCCCTTTTTTTCCGCGCTGCGACCAGAGAGTGCCGACGCACAGAGACAGGGTGGCCCGCCTGCCTCGCGGTCCAGACTCCTCGGCTGCGGCCCTATGCTTGGGCGGCGGCAGCCGCCGACGTCGTCCTCGTCCTCTCCCCATCCTCCTCCTCGTCCTCCTCCTCGTCCTTCTCCTCGTCCTCCTCCTCCTCCTCCTCCTCGACGGCGTCGAGGGCTGCGGCCGCGACGGCGGAGCGGCGGCGGCGGTTCCAGACACCCGTCGGCGGGATTTTTGTCCATCCGCAGCCCCGTTGGTCCCGACCGCTGCCCTGGGGGCAGTTTTTCGGGGGCGGCCAAGAGGGCGGTCGCCCCTCTGGGAGGCTTGTTGTGGCCTCCCTCGGGCTTCCTGTTTCCTTCCCCTCGATTCTCGATCTTCCTCCTCGATCCTCGATCTTTCCTTCTCAACCTCCTCCTCTTCCTCGATTCTCGATCCTCCTGCTCGATTCTCGATCCTCCTCCTCCTCCTGATTTCTCGGTCCTCCTCATGTTCCTACTCATGCCCCTTGCTGGCCCAAGTGAGAAGTCAGGGCTGTTGCACAACCAAATCGCAGGGGATTTTGCAGACGCGCGCAAGGTACCAGTTTAGGTGTGTTGACGTTGAACCTCCTTATGCGGATGTCCTGTGTCCTGTCCTCCTCTTCTTCCTCCTCCTCCTCCTCCTTCTCTTCGATTCTCTATTTTGACTCCTCGGGGGGGTGGGCTGTTTTCGGCTACATTGTTTAGTTGGTATGTACAAGAAAATTGCTTCAAATCGGCCCTGGAGAGGGACGGCGATTTTCTAAGGCTTCTTGGGGCGTCCTGGGGGCCTCCTGGTGGCTCTTGGGGGCCTCTTGGGGCGCCTTGAGGGCCTCTTGGAGGCCTCTTTGAACGTCTTGATGGCCTTTTGGCGGTCTTCAGAGCCTCTTGGGGCGTTTTAGGTGTCTCTTGTGGGCCTCTTGGGGTCTCTGGGGCCTCTTGGGGACCGCTTTGGGCCATCTTGCGTCTTTCTGTGTGTAAGTTTAGCATGGGCAGCGAGCCAACATCGGCTCCAGAGAGGGGCGGCCATCACGGTGGCGGATCGTCGGACCCTTAGATCCGACGCAGCGAAAACACTGCAAAACCCTGAACAAAAATCACGACCACAACCCAGGACCAGGGCTGGACCTAAACGCTGTTTTGCTGGACTTTGGCCGTGTTTGGTTTTCCGTTTTGGCAGAGAGGTAAAAGAACACAGGTAGAGCAAAACGAACAACAAAACGAGAACAGCACGAACAACAACGTTTTAGGCCCAGTCTTGCCCAAGACCCCATCTTTCCGCGCCACTTTTCGAGCCCGATCGATCCGTGAGCGCCCCGGGGCCCTGGACCTGACGCCAGTGCCAGGCTCGAGAAACAAAATGCGACGACAGAGTCTCTGGTCGGGGGCGGCCAGAGGGGGGTGATGATCAGGGGGGGGGGATCTCACCCAGATCCCTTCGCGCTGTGGCAAAATCACGACGGGAGTTTTTTGTTTTTTCGTGTTTTGCTATTTTCGGCCTCCGGGGCCCTCGTCAGGCCTCGGGAGAGTCAAACAACGACTCGGGATGAAAAACCGGTCCTGTGGAAGGGGTGCAGACCTCTGGGGGGTCGACACTGTGAAAAAGTCAGGACACCAGGGTCTGGGCATGGTGGGTGCCAGGATGTCTCCCCCGACCTCATGTCGCCTCTTTTCATTCCAGGAGGAGGAGGAGGGGGAGGAGGAGGAGGAGGAGGAGGAGGAGGAGGAGGAGGAGGAGGAGGAGGAGAGGAGGAGGAGGAGGAGGAGGATGGAGGTAGGAGGGAGGAGGAGGAGGAACGAGGAGGAGGACGAGGAGGAAGGAGGGGAGGAGGAGGGAGGAGGAGGAGGAGGAGGAGGAGGAGGAGGAGCAGTTACAAAGGCGGCGAGACCGGCCTTTTTTGGCGCCTGCCGCGGAGGAGCCGCCGAGCCTGCCCCCGCCGCCCAGCCACGAGGCGGCCGTGCCGGCGGCGGCCGAGGAGCCTTCGCGCCGCTCGGCTGCCCGTGCTCCTCCTCCTCCTCCTCCTCCTGCTCCTCGTCCTCCTCCTTTGTCCTCCTCCTCCTCCTCCTCTTCCTCCTGCTCCTCCTCCTCCTCCTCCTCCTCCTCTCCCTCCTCCTCCTCCTCCTCCTTTTCCTCCTCCTCCTCCTCCTCCTCCTCCTCTTCTCCTCCTCCTCCTCTTCTCCTCCTCCTCCTCCTCCTCCTCCTCCTCCTCCTCCTCCTCCCCCTCCTCCTCCCGCTCCTGGGGCTCGTGTCAGGTGATCGCAAACATGGATCAAGTGTGCATGGATTAGCGACGGGTCCCGTTTCCATGGGAGATCGCGGATTTCCGCCGCCGAGCAGGGCGGCACCGGCCGCATTTTGGGAAGGCCCCACCCCCCGGGGATCCATGGATTTGGCGACCGCGCGCCAAAACCATGGATCGCTAATCCATGTTTGCGCGCCCCCGAATCTGGTGCGGGCCCTTCTGAGAGACAGCCGCCTTCTGAGAAGCCTTACCGCCTCCTCCTCCTCCACCTCCTCTTCCTCCTCCTCCTCCTCCTCCGCCTCCCTCTGCTGTTTCTCTTTCCTCCTCCTCCTCCTCCGCCTACCCCCGTGTTCGCGCCGACAACGAAAGGGGGGCCCGTTCGCCGGGGGCCCGTTGGCCGGGAGGGGACTTCCCCCGACACCCTCGCGTTGTGAATAAAATCACGACGGGAGGCTTTTCGCTAGTTTCGGCCTCCAGGGGCCTTCGCCGGGCCTCGGGACCGTCCAAGAATGATTCAGGATGAAAGACCGGTCCTGGGGAAGGGGTCCAGACCTTTGGGGTCGGCATGACGTCGGGGTCTGGATCTGGTGCGGGCCCGGCCATGGTGCGGTAGATTCGCGTCGTTTCGACCGGTGGCGACCCTGCTGCTGGCGTTCCATGTTGAACGCCGCCGGCGACCCAGAATCGCGGTCGATGTTGAACCATCGGACGTTTCGGAAACGGCCCATCGTTGGAGGTTTAACGATCCGTCACAGTTCGGCTGCCCGAAATCGGCAACGCGCAGAGGGGGAAGGGGGGAAGGCTTCTTAGTAGCACCCCCCTTCAGAAGTCGCGGGCGCCGCTTCTGAGAAGCTTGTGGCTACTTCTCAGAAGGGCGGCTGACGCCTTCTGAGAGGCAGACGCCTTCTGAGAAGGCTTCCCCCCCCCCCTCCGCCTCCTCCTCCTCCTCCTCCTCCTCCGCCTCCGCCTCCTCCTCCTTCTCCTCCTCCTCCTTCTCCCCCTCCTTCCCCTCCTCCTCCTCTTCCGCCTCCGCCTCCGCCTCCTCCTCCTGTTCCTTTTGTTCCTCCTCGTCCTCCCCCTTGTCCTCGTCCTCCTCCTCCTCCTCCTCCTCCTCCCCCTCCTCCTCCTCCTCCTCCCTCCTCCTCCTCCTCCTCCTCCTCCTCCTCCTCCTCCTCCTCCTCCTCCTCCTCCTCCTCCCCCTCCTCCCCTCCTCCTCCCCTCCTCTTTTCCACCCTCCCCCTCCCCCTCCTCCTCCTCCTCCTCCTCCTCCTCGTCCTCCTCCTCCTCCTCCTCCTCCTCCTCCTACCCCCCTGTGCGCGCCGACAACGAAAGGGGGGCCCGTTCGCCAGGGGAAACATCTGCTGCGGGCCCGACCATGGTACAGTCAGCACGCACATTCCGAGGCAATCGAATTTTAGAGGCCGCAAGAGGGCCGAGGCTGTCGCATGAGAGACCGCAGTGAGCCAGCTGCATCACACAGTTCTCTCGGGGCCGTAGAGCTGGCAGCCTAGAGGCGTAGGCCGCACGATAATAGTAATCATAGTGAGGATAATCTGACTAATAGCAGTAGTAACAGTACTAACAAGCATACGAACAATAACACTAACTCGAAGCTACACATACACATAGTAAGACACATCGTAGTACTGATGGTACTCATACCACACTTAGTATAACTTCGACTACTCATAATACCAACACTCACACGAATCATATCACTATTACTTACACAACTAGGTATTAGTAATGCCATCAGTACTAACTACAGGCGAAACACACAATACTAAGTTTAATGACGCTAACATAATTTTGAACAGTACTATTACGAATAATGATACACATGTCCAGAGTACTATACATAAGAAGGGCAATCCGAAGAACGCGCACAGTAGGGATGAGTGACTCTCCAAGGTTACCCCTCGCATCCTTCGGGGATCCACTGGCCCGGGTGGATGTAGACCCGGGTCAGTCAGGGCAGGATTTTGCAAGATCCTGCAGGGTCTTGCAGGATCCTGCGCCCAAGCCTGGGTCAATGCAAGCCTGGCTCCGCAGGATCCTGCAAGATCTGGCGCTCTGACTGGCCCCCGTTTGCGTGGACCCCCGTCCCCAGGCTCCCGCATCCTTCCCCTTCGGCCCGTCCTCGGCCGCTTCCGCTGGCCGCGCCCCGCTCGCAGAGGGTCGACGTGGCCGCCCAGGGCCCTCTCTAGGGGGCCACATGCGAACCCTACCCCTAACCCCCCACGATCTCTGAGGGGGAGGGCGGGGCTCGCCTCGCTCGGGAGCTCTCGCGCGAAGCGAACCCCACCCCCCCCCTCAGAGATCGTGGGGGGGTAGGGGTAGGGCTCGCATGCGGCCCCCCAGAGGGTCGACCTGGCCGTCCAGGGCCCTCCCGTCCTCCCTCGTGCGCCCTCCTCGGGCGGGCTGGCGGCGCGGCCCGAGGCCGCCCACGAGCCGCGGGGCGGGCCCCGCCCCCCTCGGTGCCTCCGCCTGCCCTTTTGGGGGGTCGTCGTTCGCCCCCCTGGGACGTGTCTGATGGCCCCGCGGCGTGAAGGCAGGCAGAGGAGGACCAAGGAAGGCGGAAGGCGACAGCGAGGAGGAAAGACTCTGATCCAGAAGAGTCGTCCGCTGTCGGGGCGACAGCGCGATTCTGAACGACGGGAGCTATGTTTCGATCCCACATGGTGCCCGCAATGCAGCTGGCATGCTCTTTCGAAGCAGAGAGAACGTGCCGATTGGAAAACAACCGTCGGATATCTCAACACTTGAAGCCTTGCTTATCAAACCACAATGCGCGGAACGGGACGGGACATCTTCCGCATAGACTCCGTGGAGAAGGGAGGGTCGACGTCATATTGGGAAAGTGTGGAGGAGATATGAGGAGGACAGGCAGGCGGATGATGATGATGATGATGATGATGATGATGATGATGATGATGATGATGATGATGAGATGATGATGATGATGATGATGATGATGATGATGATGATGATGATGTTGATGCTGATGATGCTGATGCTGATGCTGATGATGCTGATGATGATGATGATGATGATGATGATGGTGATGGTGATGGTGATGGTGATGGTGATGGTGATGGTGATGGTGATGGTGATGATGCTGCTGATTATGATGATGGTGATACTGATGGTGATGCTGCTGCTGCTGATGATGATGATGATCATGGTGATGCTGATGATGATGATGACGCTGCTGCTGCTGATGATACTTCTGAACCTGATGATGATGCTGACGATGCTGATGATGATGACACTGATGATGATGACACTGATGATGCTGCTGATGATGAGAATGCTGATGATGCTGCTGCTGATGAAGATGATGATGCTGATGAAGATGATGATGATGATGATGATGATGATGATGATGATGATGATGATGAGATGATGATGATGATGATGATGATGATGATGAATGAAGGATGATGATGATGATAACGGATGATACTGATCATGATGATGCTGCTGATGATGATGATGCTGCTGATGATGATGATGATGTCTGTTGCTGCTGCTGTTGCTGCTGCTGATGATGATGCTGTGTTGATGCTGATGCTGAAATGGGAAAGGAGGCGGAGAGATGATGAGGATGAGGATGAGGATGAATGATGATGATGATGATGATGATGATGATGATGATGATGATGACGATGATGATGATGGTGATGATGATGATGATGATGATGATGATGATGATGATGATGAGCGTTGGTGGAAGATGGGAGAGGGGGGAAGGGAGGAGGGAGTCGGTCGGAGGGAGGAAACGCCGCTCATCATTCCCCCCCCCGCCGTTCCTCACTCATTCCCTGTTTCCTCTCTCCTCGCCCCTCCCCCCCCTCGCTTCTTTCCCCTTCCGTCTCTGCCCCGTTCGCTTGTCGTCCTCCCTTCTCTCCCGCCCCCCCCCGCACCGCATCCTCCACCCCTTCTGCCCTTCCCCGTCCCTTGCTCCCCTTTCCTTCATCCCCGCCTCTCCCTGCTCGTGCCCGCGCCGGCGCGCCCGCGGGCAAGGGCCCGCGCGCGCGCGCGCTCGCGTTGGTGCTGGCGTCCGCGCCCGCCGGCGCCCGTGCCTGCACCCGCGCCTGCGCCTGCGCCCTCACCCGCGGGTCGCCCGCGCGCCCGAGCCTCCGCCCTTCCCTCGCCACTGGGAAGCGGGACGTGGCTCCGGAGGGAAACGGGCCCCGAGGCTTCGCGCCGTTTTTGGGGTCTCTCAGGGGGGCTCTGCACGGGCCTGGGGGCTGGCAGGAAGGGATTCGGGAGGAGAAGCTCGTCCTGGGGGAGGGCACCAGGGTCCAGGACCCGTTTCCCTCACGACCCCCATGCTAATTCCTTCGCGCCCCGATTCCCCGTGCTCCCCTTGTGGGATCGTAGCGTGGGGCGCTAAGGGGATGTGGGGTCCATCAGCGGATGCCAAGGTGGGTCATATCGGGCCTCGCTTAGCTTTTAAGTGGGTTGCAGATGCCCCAAGTGGCTTAAGGGGTTATCGATCTGGGCTAAACGGGCTCCACCCACTGAGCCGAGTCATCTACCCCCATTTGAGCCTCTTGGGAGCATTTGTGATCCACCTCTAAGCAGGCAAGATTTCACCCGCCTGGGCATCCACTGATGACCCTCCTATCTCCTGAGCAACACCCGCCCCGTTCACAGTTCCCCGTCCGCAGGACGTGTAGTGTTTGGGCAGGAGGGGGGCGGCGGAGGAGGAGGAGAGGAGGAGGAGGAGGAAGAGGAGGAGGAAGAGGAGGAGGAGGAGGAGGAGCAGGAGGAGGAGGAGGAGGAGGAGGAGGAGGAGGAGGAGGAGGAGGAGGAGGAGGAGAGCGATATCTCCCAGAGTTCCCCCGAGCACAATCGAGCCTCCTGCTTCTTCTCCTCCACCTTTTCCTGCGGCCAGTCAAGGCCGTCCTTCCAGCGGTAGCCGCTGGCAGGCGTTTTCTAGGCATCCCTGTCCTCAAGCCTGCCGCAGACCAGTCCATTAGGTTCGCATCGGTTCTTTTCTTGTATTGTTTTGTCCTCTCCGCCTCCTCCGCCTCCTCCCTCTTTCCCCTCCGCCTCCCCCCCTCTTCCTCCTCTTTTTCCTTCTTCTCCCCCTCCTCTTCCTCATCCTCCTCCCTCTTGTCTCCTCAGCCCTTCCTCCCTTCCTCTTCCTCCTCCGCGCCTCCTCCTCTTTTTCCTCCTTCCCCTCCGCCCCCCTCTCCTCGATCTCCTACTCTTCCGCCTCCCTCCGTCTCCTGCTCCTCCCTCTTCCCTCTTCTCCTCCTCTTCCTCCTCCTCCTCCTTCCCTTCCTCCCTCTCGCCGCCTCCTCTTCCTCCTCCTCCTCCTCCTCCTCCTCCTCCTCCTCCTCCTCCTCCTCCTCCTCCTCCTCCTCCTCCCCCCTCTCTCTCCATCTCTTCCTCCTTCTTCTTCTTCCTCCTCCTCCTCATCCTCTGCCTCCTCTTCGTCTTTCTCCTCTCCTCTTCCGCCCCCCGCCTCGACCTCCTTCTCCTCCGCCTCCTCCGCCTCCTCCGCCTCCTCCTCCTCCTCCTCCTCCTCCTCCTCCTCCTATTTCTCCTCCTTCACCCATTTTTCTTATGAGTGATTCCTCGCTGTCGCACCCTGAGACGTGTCGGTAGGGCAGACCTGGCGTTTCGCCGGATACTTCCTCGCCGGCTACGACGCTCGAGCTTAGAGCGTGCAGCAGCTCCACGGATGCAGGGCGGGCGATTTTCAACGTGCCGCTCTCGCTCCAGCGCCTCGCGCATGCGTCTTGCACTTTTGACATACAGTCGGGGCCCTGAAGAGGGAACCCTTTTCGTTGGGAAGGGGCTCCGTGTTCCTTAATTGTTTCACAACTTGCCTCAAGTTTTCCTTATGTATTCGATGGGAATTCGAAGTTCAACTTATGGTAAAAATGGGGCATTGGTCCTTATTTGGGGTTCCTTAGGTCAACGCCCCGACTGTAGTTTCACGGGTGGAGGGCGGATCGTTTTCAGGAGCGGTTCTCGCCTCGGCGCCGCGCGCGCTCGTTTTGTGAAGTTGGTGAGCGCTTCGCGGCTGGAGGGCGGCGGTCTCTCTCCGAAAGGGGGGCTCTCGCCTTCGCGCCGCGCACGTTCGTCGTAAGAGTTTACATCGGTTTCGTATTCTTATGGTTGAGGTCCCAGGCGATGTGATTTGGCACGATGTAGGGCACTCAGGGCACAGCGGTCAAGCTGATTCGCAGTGTGTCGAAGTTGCAGGAAGGGAGTTCTCGCGCGATGCAGGGCTGCCAGGGCGCAACTGTGACGTTGATTCGCGGCGTCGAAGTCCCAGGGATGGTGTTCTGGCGCGGCTCAGGGTTTTCAGACGGTTGCCTTCCAACGGGGAGCTCCCTTCAGTGAACATGTGTCCTTGCAGGGACCTCGGAAGAGGGAAATTCGAGGAAGGGCTTGTATCGGTATCGTTTGTGAGCCGTGGACTTACACGGGCCCTCCTCTTCCTCCTTCTCCTTTTCCTCCTCCTCCTCTTCCTCCTCCTCCTCCTCTTCCTCCTCCTCTCCTTCCAGTCTTTCCCTTCTGCGCCATCTCCATGGCGCACCCCCAGGCCGGTCGAAAGGGCGGGCTGGGCGTTTCGCTGTTTTTCCGCCGCGCACATCCGTCTTAGAGAAATGTGGGAACTTCGCGCGGGTGCAGGGCGGGTGGTTTTCAAAATGATGCTCTCGCTTTAGCTCCGCTCACATTCGTCTTCAACGTTGCAAGATTTTCAAGGATGGATGGCGATTCGCTTTCAAATGGGGCTTCCGCCATAGCGCCGTGGACATTCGTCTTAGGAGTTTGTAGCAGATTCAAATGCTCTCATGGTTGACGTCCCAGACCATGTGATTCGGTACGATGTTGGATTGTCAGGGCGCAACAGTTACGTTGATTCTTGGTGTTGAAGGTCCAGGAACTCTGGCACGATTCAGGGTCGTCAACACGCAACAGTAATGGTGATTTCTCGGCGGTGAAGTTCCAGGAATGGAGGTCTGGCGCATTTCAGGATTCTCAAACGTTTGTTTTCCAACGGGGAACTTCCCTCTGTGACATGCGTCCTTGTAATTAGGGGCTTATGAAGAGGGAAGTTGGAGGGAGGCTTTGCTGCAACATCGTGAATGAGTCTTGGGTTTGCACTGGTCCCTCCCAGGGCTCATTTCGATTCCTCTGGTTCGATTCGATTTGATTTCGATGGCTTCCGATTCCGATTCGATTTGACATCGGATTCCGATTCGGGCTCCGCTTTCTCAATGGAGGCCTACTAGCCTGCCGATGTCTACCGATTCGACTCTTCCCGACTCGGCTGCCGATTTCCGCCGAACCGATTCATTGCGATCGCCGATTCGACTTCTCGATTCGATTCTGGGCTCTCCTGCCCTCCTCCTCTCCTCTCTCCTCCCTTCCTTCCCTCCTCTCCGCCTCTCCTCTCCCTGCCCTCCTCTCCTCCTCTCCTCTCCTCCTCTCCTCTCCTACCCCTCCTCCTCTCCTCTCTTCTCCCTGCCTTCCCTCCTTCCCGCGCCCCGCCGCGGGTCCCAGGAGCCGCCGCCGGGCTCCTAGGGGAGGGGCGCCGTCTCGCCGTGAGCGGCCGCCGAGAGCTTAGAGCCGGGCAGCGGCGCCGTAAAGCGTTCCGCGCCGCCTGGGAGGCGCGCCGAGGCCCCCCCAGGTTTGAAGGTCGGGGCGGGGGAGGAGGAGGAGGAGGAGGAGGAGGAGGAGGAGGAGGAGGAGGAGGAGGAGGAGGAGGAGGAGGAGGAGGAGGAGGCGTTCAGGAGGAGGAGAGAGGGAGGCGGAGTCGTAGGAGGAGGAGGAGGATGAGGAGGGAGGAGGAGGCGAGGAGGCGGGGGAAGGAGGAGGAGGAGGAGGAGGAGGAGGAAGTGTGCGGAGGAGGGAGGATGAGGGGGAGGAGAGGAGGAGGAGGAGGAGTCGTGGAGGAGGTACGAGTCGAGGGAATGAGGAGGTAGGAGGTGGGAGGAGGGGATGAAGGAGAGGAGGAGGAGGAGGAGGAGGCAGAGGGCCAGTTAAAACCCCAGACTCATCTGGGAGGTTGAAATACAACCTCCCTTCGAGCTCCCTCTTCATAGGCGCCTACAAGGGTTCATTCCCACTGAGGGAAGTGCCAGGTTGGGGGACAACCGTGTTAATCTAGAAACGCTGCAAAACACCACTCCCAGGACTTCAACTCCACGAGTCAACCATACTGTTGAGTTTTTACGACCCTCAATCGTGCCAGCATGCAGTTCCTGGGACTTCGACCCCGCGAATCAACTTTTTGTGAAGGCCTTACAGCCGGTGTTGCCGACCCTGAAGGTTTTGGCCGTCGATCGCGACGGGATGTGTGATCACAGGAAGGAGCTAAAGGACAACGTGACAGGGTAGGCGGAGGAGGTGTGAGGAGGAGGAGGA